CAGCTGCAGGATACGACAGGATTACTGTAAAAATACTAAAAAATATATCTGAATTTATCATAATTCCATTGGTTTTTATCTATAATCTGAGTATTAAAAATAGCTTTTTCCCGGATAACTTCAAAACTGCAATTATTAAACCTTTATTTAAAGGAGGTGATTGTAGGTCTATGTATCATTATAGACCTATATCTATGTTAACGAACTTTTCTAAAATATTCGAAAAAATTATTAAATCAAGATTAATTTCTTATTTGGAAAAAAATAAATTATTATCTAAGCATCAATATGGTTTTAGACCAGGGCTGAGCACTGAAAACGCTTTATATTAAGTAACACAGTTTTTATATCACGTATTGGATAGTGGTTTAAAAACTATTGCTATATTCCTTGATCTTGCAAAGGCTTTTGACACTATACACCATAATATTATATTTCAGATCTTACCCAGCTTTGGTATAAATAATAGAACTTTACTTTGGTTTCAAAGCTACCTTTCGGACAGAAAACAGCATGTGAAATTAAATAATGTCCTAAGTGATAGCAAATTTATTAAATATGGTGTTCCACAGGGCAGTGTCCTAGGCCCTATTCTGTTTATACTCTATATAAATGAGGTATGTGATTTGAAGATAGATGGAACCATAGTGACCTATGCTGATGACACTTGTCTGTTATTCGCAGACTCATCTTGTAATGGAGTACACAATAAAGCCACAAAAGGACTTAACTCAACTTATTTATGTATAAAAAATAGAGGTTTATCCATGAATTTTGAGAAATTAATGTTTATAAATTTCTCGATAAATAAATGTACTAATACTGTTCCTCCTTTGGTTATTCACAACTGTGATAATCTTTTAATGTGTAATAATATTAACTGTAAACAAATACAGGAAATAACGAAGATCCGTTATTTAGGTATCATATTTGATGAAAATTTAAGATGGAATTTGCATATTTGCAATCTAGTTGGTAAGCTCCGTTCCACAATCCATCATTTCATATAACTAAGAGATCTGTTACCGGTGAAAACGATGCGTATGATTTATTTCGCCTTCTATCAATCCATTTTTCAGTATGGGCTTTTAGTATGGGGAGGTATAAAGGATAATTATTTAAATCCACTACAAGTAAATCAAAATAGTGTAGTAAGAATAATTTTAGGTAAAAAATCTTTAGAAGGTTCAACGAAACTAAATTATAATATTTTAGGCATTCTTCCGGCCAAACTATTGTATAAATCAATTGCATTACTTTTCACGGTTAAAAAATGTATAAGGAACAATACCAATACATTTGATTTTTTTAAGTCCAGAGAACAAAGAGTATATAACCTACCTGTGGAATACACAAAAAAATCCTTTGGGCAATCGTTTGTAAATTATTTAGGTCCAACATATTTTAACCAGTTGCCAACTTTATCAAAAAAGAACATTCATTATGGCTTATTAAATGACAAAAAAATCATAACTGATACGCTTTTTTCAGAATTAAATATTTCTTAGAGAAATCCGCATATAACGATGTTTGTTAGTCTATATTTAAGTATGTAAAATATATTTTATTTTTAAGTACTTAATCATGTTTTCTTAGATTTTTATTTTATTTTATAATTGTGTATAATATTATTTTAAATTTATTTTTCTTATAATTTATGTACGATTATTCGCTAACGCTCTACTCCACCACAAGCCTAGGCTTACAGGAGTAGATATATTCTTTATCAATGTATATATTTACATCATGTATTTGTATCTTATAAAGAAATTTATTTAATAATAATAATAATTGTGTACGAAAATAGGCCGTCTATTATTGCCATTGTGTCTAAAAAAAAAAAAATATTTAATAATAATGGCAGAATAAAAAATAACTATTTGATACTCTTAATCGAATAACATTTTTTACTCATATTACTTGTATTCATAATAAGTCATAATATTAATTACATTATATTTAAAAATAAATATTTCTTTTAATAATATTGTATTGTTTTTTAAATAATTTTCAATTTAATGACTTCCTTGGTCTTGATGTTGCTTTACCAATGAATCAATTTAGAGTTCTTCTATGGAGTTAGTAAGTGAAATACGCATCATTGGTTCAACATCAAGCTTGTTTCTTGATTTGGTTTTGATTGTAGTTAATATCTTTATTACAACATGTAAAAATATTAGTTAATGGCCTTTGCCTACTCAAATTTAACTCATTTAATAACGAAAAAATATCTGATAGATACGCAACTGTTGTCAACCAAATTATATCTTGAAAATGGATGGATAACAGTGAATTTTTTTCTCTTAAAAATACTTCTATTTCAGTTCTTAATTCACAAAATCTCGTTAAAATTTTTTCCTTGATAACCAACGTACACGAGGTTTAATTTATTATTTATTAAACTTATAAATAAAAATATTATACTAACGTTTTAAATTTTTATCCGACCCATTTAAAATTATTGGCGACCCAAAATTGAGTCTTGACCCTATGGTTAAGAACCGCTGGAATAAGCTTCATTAGTAAAAAATATCATGACGGTAGATAGATAAACGAAAACCCCAACTAGCAATAACGTCGATAACCCGAGTAATAATATGAGATAATCTATTAGTTTATTAGTTAGTATCGACGGGCATATTATAGCGAGTTGTATATGCGACGAGTGTGTGTTTTATATTATTTGTAAGAATTTGTGTCACCAGTGAACAAAATATAATAAAAGTTAGATTAAATTATAGTGTTATAATTTTATTTAATTTTAATATTAAAGTATTGAGAACAAATTTAAAGCAGCAATTGACAAAATTGTCAGCAGTATAAAGAGAGGTGATAATATATTTTAGTTTTGAAGAATACAACAACAAGATTCAAAAAATAAAAATAATTAAAAATTGAAACACTAAAAAAAAACGGTAATGAATAATAGACTTAAGGTGCTAACACACTGCTGCGGTACGCGATACGGTAAAGTTGCCGGTAAAATCGTTCAAATGGTTTTTGTGGGCATTGCATACACCGAACTGGACCGGACCAGTGTGCGCCTCCGTTATTATTTGTGCGGTACAACTAATAGCCGTGTCCATAGATCTATATGGGGGCTTGCACACAACTGTGATATAATGATAATACGGTTTCAAATGTATCGGTGGACGGTTTCTGCACCAGTATTTTTAGAACGTTGCATGCACGTTTTTTATCGTATACCGGAACGGTAGAATTAATTATCAAATCAGTTTTAAAAATCATAGGTATTCAAAAAATCAAGGAACTTACTCTGCTGTATAGTAAATTTTGTATCTATTTCATGTCTTCATCATTATGTAGTTGGATAAATGAATTCTAATTAAAATGACGCCACATGATACAGATAATGTACGAAAGTACATTATCTGTGTTTTCTCTTAGGTTATTTTACAATATTTTAATTTTTAAAACGACAATTATTTTTTAGCTTTTTTGAATTGTAATATTTTACATATCTAATCATAAAATCGTTTAATAATTGAGATTTTGTTAATAACTTATGAAAAGATAGAGATAATTCACGTTGAGATCGATAATAGGACAGATTAATCGTATGTAATACTTAAGTGCCTACAAAATTTGTAGAAAACTATTCAACAACTTTTCTTTGTTCAGTAATAAATTGTTAGGCACTTCCATTAGTGCATTTATATAGTTTTAAACACACACCTACTTAAATACTTATACCATGTCGTCATCAATGATTATACATTGAAAAACTTATTGCCGATGTAAAAAAAATATTTTTATTTCTATTTTATAATAAAATATTTATGATGCACGTGTCGACTGTCAATGATGGATTCACGATTACATCAATTGATGTTATGTTGTAATATAATTACAAATTTATAGATAAATACATGACATATTATATTTTTATTATTCATAAAAGCTTGAAAAACTATAAATTAGTTACCTAACATCCATATAAGTTTTGGTTAGTTTTGGGTTTATAAATAGCTTATACCAGCATTTTTAAAACTGTAAGTCATGAGTCAACTTTTGTTGGGTCACGAACAACTTTTTGAATTATATAGATTCCAAGGAATGTATGTTAAATTATAATTATATTATTGTAGTAATATAATGGTACCAATAATTTCGACGGGTTATAAAATTATAATTCATAATAGGTCGTAATAAGTCTTAAGTATATTTATTTTACTTAATTACTTAACTATTAACTAATTTTTAAAAATGGAACTATGCAAGTCACGAAAGATTTTTCGAAGGAAAATTGGGTCATGGTCCTAAAAATATCGAGAACCACTAGCATAGACAGTTAATTGTTTTTTTTTTTTTTTTTTAAATTAACACATTTTAAAGGTACAATTCCTGTTCGGAATTTTCAATACAACAAAAAAAATAATTATTTAATAATAAAATGATTAAAAATCATTTATAGTACCTAACTATTTTAATAGATGTTTTAAGTATTGCAGATAAATTTTTTTTAAAAATGAATGTATTGTTCAGAGCGTATGAAACTGGTTTAGCATACTTAACGATTCATTTTATATTGAAATATACTATTAATCAAGACCGTATTTGGGGGAGGGTCCAGGGTGTCTGGACTCCCCCTCCCCCGAAATTTCTTCAATATTTTACGAATGTTTAAAACACTTATTTATTTTTAATACCAACATAAATATTTTCAGTCAAAAATGACTTAAGCTCCAATTAATCACTGACTGCTTTTAATTTTATATCATGATATCATGAAAATATGATACTAATTTTAATAAAAGAAGAATAAATCTTTGTCTGTCTTATTTTTAACCAAATATCAAAAGTTAAAATCTAAATTCAATAAAATTACAATATACATGCTTTTCGAAGACATTTTATTTGTAACCTCTGTTATACATACAACAACAGAAGAAATATTTACCAAAATAAATGAATTTATAATATTAAATGAAATTGAATGGACAAAATGTGTAGGAGTTAGTACAGATGGTGCTCGAGCAATGTCAGGAAAAATTTCTGGATTAATTGCACGTATTCGAAATATTTTACCATCAGTTACTTGGCATCATTGCTGTATTCATCGTGAAGCTATTATCTCTAAGAAAATACCAACACAATTAAAAGAAGTTTTAGATGAAGCTGTAAAAATTGTGAACTTTATAATAGCCAAATCATTAAATTCAAGACTTTTTGAACAACTTTGAAAGGACATGGATAGTGAACATTATCAACTTCTATTACATTCTGAAATTCGTTGGTTATCTCGGGGTAAAGTGCTCTCTCGTTTGTTTAAGTTAAGACATGAGGTTAGATTATTTTTCATCGAACATAAATCATCAATTACGTTAAGTGAACGTTTAAATGATTTTTCTTGGTTGGCTAGTTTAGCGTACCTTTCAGATATATTTGCTCATTTAAATGTACTTAACTTGAGTCTTCAAGGGTCCCATGTTACAATTTTTAAAGTTGAAGATAAAATTGAAGCGATGATAAAAAAGTTGGAACTATGGAATCTTCGTCTATCAAAGAAAAATTACGATTCATTTCAAAACTTCAATAATTTCCTTGAATTGACCAAAGAAGAATTATCCGGAGAAGTTTCCAAATACATTAAACAACATATTGAAGATCTGCAACGAAGCTTCCGCGATTATTTCCTGTTTCAGACACAAATAGAAACTGGATTAAACACCCTTTTGAAAATGATATAACCCAAATTAATAGACTGACATCACCGGAAGAAGATAATCTTATAGAAATTTCTACAAATGGTAGTTTAAAATTACAATTTAATCAAAAGTCGTTAGAAAATTTTTGGTTGCACGTACAAAAAGATTATCCAGTATTATCAAGTAAAGCTCTGAAAGTTTTAATTCCGTTCCCCACAACTTATTTATGTGAAAAGGCCTTTTCCGCTCTTGTATATGTCAAAAACAAGTTTCGCAATCGTTTGGAAAACGTAGAGTCCGAACTTCGATTAAAACTTTCAAATATTGAGCCTAATATAGAAAAATTAATGTCAGAAATGCAATATCATCCTTCACATTAAGTATACCTATAATAATTTTAAATTATAAGATTAATTTCAAATATCATAAAAGTAAAACAATAATTAATTTTTTATGTAAGACAAAATGTTAATGCAATAATATTAAATATAACAAAAATAATAAACAAAATATTTTTATACATATTATATTTTTATTTACCTTTCTTTTAAATATATTGGTTATTGTAACATGAAATATTTTTTAATAAAAAAATGGTAATTCCTAATAAAATTAATAAGGTGGTCCGAGATTTAAAAATGTCCTTCATCGGGGGTCCGCGTAATAAAAAGTTTAAGAACCGCTGTTCTATACTACTACTGTTAGTATATAAGTCTGTGGGCCATTGCCGTCAGCGGCGATAAGCCTCCGTTGTGACTGGCCGAGTACGTATCACGTTGTTATCATCTCACGAAAATGGTTGTTATTCCACGTTTTCGAAAAAATTGTCGGTTATGTTCTCCAGTAAAAGTTAAAGTCATGCTCTCAGTTCCACAAAGTTCATTAATTTCGAGTGTTTTTTCAGTTTTGTGTGGTGGCACTGAGGTCTTTTATCTTAATTGTGATGTCCGGCGGCCAGAGCCTTCGTGGTAAATGTCGTCGGCACACAGTGGGAGGAATTACATTTCTAGCTGGCCAAAAATAGAAAATTCAGGTATGGTGATTAACGATTACAACCAGGAATATTTGTTGCCACTGATATGACGATGGTAAATATATCACATTATGTAATAATTGTTAATTAATGAACTGATAGGAGTAGGTAAAGTACTGAAAGATTATTGAATTTAGCGTATCATATAGTAATCGCTTGTTATTCACGCAGTTTTTATTTTAGTTTGTCCATTGTCGTTATTTCATAAGTAAAAATCTAATTGTTTTTTGCTAAATCAAAAATAGATTAACCAATAGAAATAATTAAGTTACATTTGTTCTGAGTACTATTTATTAATTAAAATGTAATAAAAATTCATAGATATCATGAATTTAAAGAAATTCAAATTTATTTAATTTTAATTTTGTAGACATTTTTTTTAGAGGCTCTTTGGGGTGTGAATTTAATTTGAAAATATTTTAAATTAAATGAAAATAATATAATTTGATAGTTTTTACATGTCGAAGAAAAATTAATTTATCAGTATTGTTAAACGGGTTTTAACATCATGTGTTGTCTGATTATCGTAATTTATAGTTTGTAGATATCCTATTAGCAATAAAATATACTACAATGAGTCGCAGAAAATATATTAAGTAGACAAATAACATCCATTGGGTTTTTGAGTTTTTCCCATTGTTGTTATAACCATAAAGTCAAATGGAAATAGAAATTGTAATTTATATAATACTTTTATTATAAAATGAATAAAAACTATTAATATATATACACAACTTATTTTGTAATTTGGTGCCCCCCGACCAAAACTTCCGGGGCAAGTGCCCCAGTTCGCTCCCCCTAGATCTGGCCCTGTCTATAGTTGATAATGAATCTGACGTTTTATATTACGTCACAGTAGACGAGTTGTTTGAAGTAATTCACATCGCACATTTAGCAGTAGGGCAAGGTGGTAGAAATTGGATGATGGCTGTGTTAAAAACAAAATATTGTAATGTGACAACAGAGCAAGTTATGGCACATTTAGGTTTATGCAGTAATTTTCAAGTAAAACTATCAAATCCAAAAAGAGGGCTTATGACAAAACAAATTCTACATTCCACATTTAATTCAAGGACGTAAATTGATTTGATTGACATGCAATCTCTAAATTATAAAATTTATCGCTATATAATGAATTATCAATATCATTTAACAAAATTTATTATTATAAAATCTCTGAAGACAAAAAGCACCGAAGAAATTGCTTTAAATCTGATGAGATATTTACACAATATTTGGTTCATCCGCTATACTCCACTTGGATAATGATCGTGAGTTGGTAAATTATATTATAACAAATTTAAATGAAATGAGGGGAGACATAAAAATTGTGCATGCAAGCCTCGTCATAGCCAGACCCAAGGGTCAATTGAACGCGCGAATAGGGATGTTGAAAAAATTTTGCCTTCTTGGATGGCTGATAATAAATCAAATTTGTAATATGCTCGTATTTTATTATTTTTAATTAACCTATTATCCAATTCAAATAAATACCTAAAATAAAAAATTAATCACCCACCAACAAAAATCATTATTACAAGTAGTATCTATATTAAAAAAATCAGTGTAATATTTGACATTTATCATAATTTACCACCAGTATTGGTAAATGACATCAAATATGTAAATATGAATTTAAAATCCGTTTTTTTACATTTACCTACATAATCGAATCATTTTGGTAGAAGACGTCATTCACCAATATTCATCTTTCACCGTAATATGTATGCGCAAGTGAACAATTTGTAAGCCAAACAAAATACAAATATTTATAAACCTATTTTATTGTATAAATTATTAAGTATTACATTTTTTTAAATGCATGATTATAATAATATATATTTTTAACATTTATATTATAGAAAACAATAAAACATGTATATTTTGCTATTTTTAAATTATTTTAAACTATAATATAAATGAGATCCAAATACTACATGCATTTTAAACTAAGCGATTGAAAATAATATTTCACTCTAAAATTTACTAACATTTTATTAATTGTGACTATGTATAATTTATTAAAAATACATTTTTGTCAGCCTTTATTCATTTTTACATAATTAAAGTTATAACTACGAGTTCAATAAAAAAATTAATAATCACACAATGTTTGAAAAAAATGACTCGTATTTTTTATCCTTAAAATTATTTAAATTAGATATTTAAAAATTTAATACTAAGTAGGTTTGTAAATTATAGATAAAAAAATATATATATATAACATAAAAACAATAACTAAATGTTTTGAAATATAAAAAAAAAAATGTATAATATATTTTAAATTCGTAAATGCCTACAATCCCATTTTACAAATTATACTTTCAATATTTTAAGTATACTTTTTTTCTTTCCATAATATTCAAATTATGAAGAATAATTCTCATTAATAGCTGTAACAACTTACATAGTAGGTATGTGTTACCAAGAAAAATTAATAATCATGCACTTATACACAGATGTATATAGCTTATTAGTAGTTTAATATACATTAAATGTGACATTGTTTAAAATGTATATTTAAAATTTGGATTATTAGTGTGCCAGCCAGTAGCTTTTGGTCCAAATTTGTAAACAAGCCTTTTTCCCTGAACGGGCAATAGTACACCAGTCTTGTAATAGTATCGCATAGCTCTACTAAACTTCTCGTAGTTCATTCTCTCGTTGCGTTTGAATTTACCCCACAATTTGGCAACCTTGTCGCTCTGTACGAATCTAAAACGGCCTTCCTCATAGTTTTCCCAGCAAATGTACGTCGGGCAATATTGAGAATTTAAAAGCAAGTCTCTGATGAATTCCCATATTCTACTCAGTTTGGGTTCGGCTTTCGACCTTTTGACTTTCGTTCCTCGCGGTCGACCAGCTCGTTTTTTCTTGATCGATGCGTTTAGATGACAATTTTCCTCGTTATCGTCTGTAAACCAAAATGATTCCATTACTTTAAGTAGTTCCAAACAGATCGAATATTTAATATTACTTAATATGATAATTTGTACTAGTGTAGATGTTTGGCTCGTGTTAGGCTTTAACAAATAATAAATTAATGAGCCTTAACAGTCGGGAGGATAGGCAATTATTAAGCTACCGTCCCTAGTAATAATAATAATAACAAACAAAGGTAATAATAATTAAAAAATGTTTTAGGTTGCCTGGTTGGCACAACAAATATAGATAGATAAATCAATGTAATATGATGTATAAATAATAAAATAAATAATATGGACGTGGCCACAAAGCAAACAACTATATAAAATGTGTAAATAAAAAATGGTAACTAAATGTAAATGATAAAATTTATTTATTTTTTTTATTTTATTTATTTATTATTTAATAATTTGTCTAAAGGTCCCCACACACTGCCGCGGTGGCGTTCAATTTGTACACACGTATTGTAATGGGAGTCCGCACACTGCTGCGGTAATTCGGCCGTGGTAAAATATCGCTGCTGCGATATTTATAAAAACCACAGCATGTTCCATTTCACCGCCGCCGCTCAGCGGCATTTTCAATTGACTTATCAAATATACGCTAATAGTTAGTGGCGTAACTGAGAAAAAACCCTAGGGGGGCAATATAATATATTTATTATTACAGAAACCCTGACACCCTTCCCCCTCACCAGTTAAAACATATTTTTATTGTATGTATTTTATCCACTAAATCTAATTGTTTGATTTTACATAAGTCTTTTAACTCATTTTATGGATTAGATAAACATAAATTGCAGGTAGCATGTACTAGGTACCAATATTGTTAAATAATACCCATAAGAGTTCATTAATAAAAGGTGCTATTTATCCTCTTGGATTATCTGGGGTGTGGGGGGGGGCAAAATTATACCTTTATTTCTCAAAAAATGGTCAGAGGGGGCACTTGCCCCCCACAATTACGCCACTGCTAATAGTATAGGGTGACCATACGTCCCGTATTATACGGATTGTCCCGTTTTTCCACTTTGTGTCCCGTTGTCCCGACAAAAGTTATACGGGACGCATTTTGTCCCGTATTAATTCCGTTTTTCTCTTTATTGTTAATTTATAATTTTTTTATTTTTTTTTTTATTCTACGATATTTTTGTATCACAAAATTCAATAGAACATATTTTAAATCTATACTTATCAGCATTATTTTTAGATTCTTGTCTTGACAATAAATTATTATAATTGTTAGACTATATTATTATACTATTAAATATTACCTATACTATTTAATATATATGGTGTATATTAGTCTAGACTTCGATTATTTCCTTGAAACTATTCAAGTTATAGTTTAATATACTATTTAACTTAATTAAAAATAATTAATACAATATTATATATATATATATAATGAATATGATATGTACAACAGTATAAGTACTTAATATAGTACCTACTAACGTATTAAATAGATAAATCGTCAATTTATCAATGACATAGGAATTAATTAATTAATTAAACAATTATTGTATGTAATATCATTGATTATAAATATTTATAATCAATGGTAATATATAAATATATTATGTTTATACTGGATAAAAATCTCCGCAATGTGTTCAGGTCTGCAATTTTAATATCGCCACCACGGCAGTGTGTGGGTACCTTAAGGTGGCTATAATACAATAATTTTAATAACAATAAGTTTGGCCCTACAGTGGTATAACTAGAATATAATAATAAAAATTGAAAAATATAATATAACTAGTAAAAAGCAGGGTTGGGATTTTATTGCATATTTCTTATGAGATGCTTAAAAAATAGTAGAGTAAGCTAAAATGTGTTTCGTGATACAGAGAACTCAAATAAAAAAATTTTATTTTGCTTTTTTTTTGCATATTTTGCGTTTTTTAGTGTATAGTGATTTTTTTGGATTTTTGAGACTTTTTAGCCTTTTACTTGTGTTTTAATCAAAATCGGGCATATTTTATGAAATTGTATTTTGGTAAACATGTTTTTTGATTTTTGTTAATTGAATTTTCAAGACTCAAAATTTTAATTTTAATTTTAAATTAAATTATAAATGTATAGATTAAGTAAATAGACCGATTACGCTGATGCAACTCTGTACAATTACAGCGATAATATATAGGTAGATATAATATAATACAATAATTTTGTTTTAGTTATTTGGTTCTAATTTTTGTTATACACTGATTTTGTTGGTTTTTTTGTCAATTTCTACTAAATCTACTAATAGCTGATTATCAACGAACGAGTGTACTAGTAGTGAACGCGTATAAATTCGCTTTATACAGTCCACATTCGTCTCGTGTGCTCGTATAAAATTATTAAATTATAAATTTCCTTTTTTTTTTTATTGTTTTTAATGCATACTTTTAGAGCTTATTTAGCGATTTTTAAGATAATATTATAGCAAATATATATGCAATTTTAAGTGCTATAAAATTCCAACCCTGGTAATAAATATATATAATTTGCCTACAAACGGCAAGGCCCGTCGGCCCTTACACAAATGAAATGAAAAACAAATATGGTCAACCAATACTCACATGTGACTATGTTGAGTGGCTAATCAGCATCCATCATGGATGCAATCGCATCCACGCGACCGCACCAACCCTGTGACTAGACAATTGCCTATGACGGCACACCCGCAGTGTATAAATGAAAATAAGTCGCAGAGCTTGGTACGTGCGACCACCCAAGCACAGTCACCAACGAAGACGGAGGTTCTACAGCTCAGACAAAGACAATACGAATGAAAACCACGTTAATCACAATGGCTGTAGGTAAGTGACCACCCTGGAACACGGTGACTATATATGAAAGGCAATACTATTTGCGCAGAACGACACTTACCATACAGCCGAAAAAGAACAAGAAACACAGAAAACATGGTTTCACAAGATGGCTGTAGACAAATAAAACTTGCATATAATTGAAGTGTACACCACGACGAACATGAATAAAGAGAGAGACGGTATCGACGACATTCATCACGAAGACTAAGGCTGCCGAATACCACAATGAAAATAAAATGCCTTAGCGCCATCGCACTAAACCAAAAAACACGAGAACTTTGTGGCACTGAGAACATGACTTTAACCTTTACTAAAACATAACTGAAAAACTCTGAAAACCTGGAATAACGAACATTTACGCGCAACGATAACAATGCGATTACGTACCCGGCCGGTCGCACATGGAGGCTTATCACCGCCGCCGACAATGGCTGCGGATACACAACGCACTGCTATGCATCGCGCGAAAATGGTAACATTCATTACAACAATCACGGATAGTAACGATCTCACGCGCGTACTGGGCGATCACCCCACGAAAGCTGTTGCTATCGTCGACCGCACGATAATAGGCGCGATAAGAATCGATAAGAAAACAAATACACACTCATACAATTGAAAAGGCCATATTGGCACTAACAGTAGGTAAGTTCTCTCAGTGGTAGGCAAGGTTAAGCGCGCCATACACTATACTATAAATGTGTGTGGAATATCAGGTATTGCAAGTTCGTATGACTAGTCCGTACAACTGGTATTCTATGATTTGTACCGTGTGACAATTATCAAGTTGGTGGTTCAATAATAGGTACCTACCTACAATTTTACCACACCCACCCAACACAAAATTATATTTAAGACATTTCACAGTTCATAAGGTGTGTGTTATTATAGTACTATTTGTTTCTGAGTATTGAATACAAAGTGTCCGAGAGGGATGTAAAATTTGTGGTGTGTGTGTGTGTGTGTGTGTGGTTGTGGATGTCGTCGTCAAATTGGTCGGTATGAATTTATTTTAATAAAATCGTTGATTTGAGCCACCTTCCCTGGTCTTACGTTTAGTATAGACAATATTTTGGTACAGTCGTACAGCGAAATGGGTAAATTATTATTGACAAACAAATAGTTTCATCTGCTTATGGAATTCTACTAGATGTTTGACAACACTTGTTGGATGATCTCTTTGGCAAGGAGTATGACTACTAATATTTTTGTGGGCCGCATATGCTTAAATAGGGGGGGGGCTTAGTCTCCCAAAAAATTATTCCAAAAAAACTTATTAAAAAAATAATTAAATGATTAAAATACAAAATTTGTTTTTTCTTTAGAAATTTATTATTATTATTACAACTATAATCAAATAATGTATAATTTTTTTTTTAATATTTGTAATTTACTTATTACCTAGTAATTATAAATGTGTGTTATGGATATGTATTTTTCAGTTAAATTATTGTAGTGGGAAAGATGAATAAGTAAGAAAGGGGCTTAGATAAAAGTTCTAAATATATTATGTTATATATGATACAGGTAATATTTACCTATACAGTATTGATCCCCCCACAGGTCACTTTGATTTATACATAGATAATTCCCCCCCCCTACAAGTCAAAAACTGAAATTGCGCTTATGGTGACCTAACTTTCGTAGAAGCTAATAACGACTGCTGGGATTAAAGATGTAGATGGGGACGCGAGGGGATCAATTCTCTAACCTCTCACAGCGCTTATAAAACGTCACCTATAACACAGCTCCGAAAAGCTCACTTGATTTGGTGAAAATAATCGCTCACATTAGAATTACAATTTAGCTAAGTATAAATAATATAAGATATAAACATTTAATTTTCTTTTCTTAACGCCTATACTATTACGTCTCGTCGGCCGTCACGATATGTTTGTTCCGAGAAATAGTGTCTTACTAACATTTACTCATTCAGTCAATGATGTACCGTTTTAATGCACGTTATTTAAACTCCGATAATTTTGAAGGAGGTTAGTCGCACCCTCCCCCCCATAAAAAAAATCACTTATTTACGTACTTGTGATTCGTGCAGGTTTTTCATTATTTAAAAGCACGATAACGAGTATTAAATATACCTATTGGACTATGACCAATTTCCTATACGGCACCATACCTACCTAATACGGCGGGCAGCAGATAGTTTCCGTCTGTCGGACGGACGTGCTGATTGCTGTTGACCTGCAGTGAATCGTAGATCGTGAAGACGCGTTGCTGCCCGTGATGGTGCTGGTGTTGGTCCGACGGATCGAACTGCCACTGCTGTTGCTCGCCACCGTTGGTCGTCGGATAATACGTCCCCTCGTCGCTGCTGTGTGCCGGATAATCTTCTTTCAGGTTCATCAACACGGTAGCCAGGTCTATTTCGTTCTCGCTGTAGTTGGTGTAACCGTTATCGAAGTCCCACTGCAAAACAATAGCGATGGCCATGCGATATTTTACTGTGCCCGTAATATGTATGCACATATTCATATAATCTACTAAACCAGATGCCAGTGGGCTTCGCTACTTTCATCCTGCGGTCATCCAAATATTTCTTATTACATTTCAAATTCTAATTTCATACTCCAAATCCTGATTAATATCAAGTGTCGCAGACCCCCTCCGTAATGTAAAAATTATTTCTATGGACTATGAAAGTCGCTGCGAAAACCTACTCTAGGAATGGAACATCAGGATCCAGATTTAATTATTATTTTTCATAGAGATATAGACATTTTAGACGATTGGACATATTTGCTAACAACGGAAAGGCTCGAAGGTTATAATTGATGTTTTAGTATTTTGGTTGTTAATTTTCTTAGTTATTTAAAATTTTTTTTAAATATTTAATATAAATTATGTACGAGTATTGCTATTATTATTATTAATAATATTTTTATTCGATTAATAATGTATTTATATTTATTAAATAATTTTTTTTTTTAGTTTTATAAAATGTCGATGTATTATATTTCATTATTCATAAAATACAATACTACTTTTTACCCACTTTTTAAAATTAGCAAAAGACATTGATTTTTTAATATTTTGTAATATAATATGTATAAAAATATTTAATGTATACAAGTGTCTTATTAAAGCAATGAATTGTCATTAGATAACCAACAGACTAGCATGATTAAGTTCCTTCTAAATATAAATTTTTATAGCCGTACAGGAATCAAAACTTAAAGTCTCAGTGTCAGTATGAAAAACTTATAAAAGAATCTAATTCAACTATCTCTGTTTAAAACATGATCGGCCCCCCTAAAAAAAACTTGGTAACGTTGCTATTCATAGCTGTTATTTTTTTCTTATGAGTATAAGCTACAAGCTTACCCCTCTCACTCAACTTACTATTTTTAAATTTTTTCAAAATTAGTTAATAAGGAAAACCCAACAATAGAACTCATAATATGATTTTTTACACCAATAAATATATAAAAATATTAGATTCAATATTGTATTTTTGATCTAGTTTACATATATTTTTAATGCGGCCCTCAATGAAAATCTGGAAAAAAAATATAAGCATCGGAAGTAAAAAGGTTGTCGACCCCCGATCTAAACTTATTTATTATAAAAATGAGTTAACGTTACAAATAATTCAAACTTTATACCTGCGACGATAGGGTATAATCATCGGGCACGCAAAAATCATTTGATTCGTACGAGTTTACAATATTAACATCGTTCAACGCCCACATCCTGAAAAAAATACATATTAAATAATTATTTTTAGAAAATATTTATTTATTTTTATTAGATTAAAGGCGATTCGGTAGATACAAAACACGAGTTTTTGAATTAGTACAACTATATATTTTTACGAAAAAATTGTCCACTATTTGAAAATGTCTATTGTAGATTTATTTTTAAAAATAAATACATTCTTCTTCTTCTCTAAAATTCAAATTTAAAAAATTCATAAGATTTAACTATAAAATAATATAATATATGCATGTAGGCACTCATTAACCTTCTTAAACGTTTCCATTTGATTATTTTCTTTGTTTGAAATAAGTGACTATCTGATATTAGTTTCTAAACTAAATATTAAATCTGCGTTACTAATATAATGCATCAAGTTTAATTTGATTTCTTGTTATATTTTCCACATATTTATAAATTATTGTAGACATTTCCAAAAATACATTTTTATTTTAATACTTTGAAAGTAATTTTTACGTATACTATCTATCAGGGCCGGATTGAACGAATTCAGTCCACCGAGTTTTTCGACTTACAAATTGATGGTTCAATTTTTTTTTTTTTTAATCACATATTTCAATAGATGCATTAATATTTTCTAATTAATATTTAGTTCGAAAAGCACCATGTTATATTATATAAGTTAATAACATTTTAAGGGTTACGGAAAAAAACGATCATAGTAAAAAAAAAAAAATCAGATAATATATTATCTTGTTAGTTAGTTTCATAACGAATCGACATGTGAATCGAGTTATAGAAAAAAGATCATGGCGAATGGCATTTTTTAAAAATTAGTTTGTTCTTGATCTCTTGATTTTTTTGAGTTCTGAAACTTTAAAATTTCGATATTGAATATTTTAGGAATATTGACTTTTATCGTTTTTCCCAGTAACCCTTCATTTTTTAAAGGTTATTAAAATGTAATCATTTCAACCAATTTAGACTTATAATGTTGCTATACATATGTGTTTGATTTCACCAAAGGTATTCTTATAATATCAACCTGCAGAATAGAATACATAAATATAAGTACATAAATTATCCGACACAGCAGAATAAATATTCAATGGGCAATGATTAATTCATAATAATATGTTTATTGTAAAGTGAAGTAATTAAATTGGAATGTTAAAAGATTTACATATTCTTATATAGGTAATATATTATATAATATATAGTATGCAAACGCTAACTGAGAACTCTTAATATCTTTGCGTAGAGACTTGCAATTTGAATTCTGTTTCTTAGTTGGTTTTTATTACATAAAATACACATTTTTATGATCTTCAAATTTGTTTAACTTAATTTGACAGGCGCATGTACATTCAAATTTATTTTTCTTAAAAGGCAACCACGTATTTTAACAATTTATTTTTTTTTTCGTGGAATTTTATAATGAATTTTGGTAGCTTAACCACCTTCTTAAGTCCAAAATTGACCAAATTACAATATTTTAAAAAAACAATAGTGAAACGTGAGGAATTTTCAGTATTTTTACTGTAATTCTAAAAATGATTGTTCTAGGGTTATTCAGACTTGAAATTTTTACCCTTATTTAGTAATGTGAGATTTATACGTTGTTATAATTTAAACTATTGTTAATTTTCATTTAAATCTGTGTCAGAATTATAAATTTTAGTATAAAAACCGTAAATAAATTTGTTATTTATTTAGCTACATTAAATCTATTGGATCTATTGGAATGAATGGAATGTGTTAATAATTAATAGAAAATTTAATTTTTATTTGAGTTATAAGTTTATTTAGTTATTAAATAATTGAACATATAAATTTTTCAAATAGTTGTCTAAACCTATGCTAGATTATCAGCCCCTCATGATTTGATCGGCCAAAAATTGCTTTACTCGGTAACACACCGGGCCAATCAGGTCCTGCTACTTATTACCGATAAGCGTATAAAAATCAAAGTTAAAATTAAGATTAAATTAAGGTTCAGTACAAATTTAAGGATAAACTGGTTTTCAGGTTACTTATTTATTAATTATAGTTATATAATATGTGAGTATATGAAAGTGTATTACTTTGTTTATGAGTAAATATTTTGAAAACATGAGGATTGTAAAATTATAAATAATATTCTAACCAACTACCTAATTTTAAATAAAATTCAACATGTTACATTAAATATGTTACACATCATAAAATTATAATATATAAATCAATCACATATTCTCCTTTTATGAAAATATTTTGAAAACTTTCAACAATTTTTAGGTAATCCGTTATAATCATGAATGTCAAAATATTCAAATTGAATAATACCAACAACCCATAGATTAATCAATTCGGCTCGTGTGTTTCACAACAATTCGTGTGCGGGTATCTTTTATTTTGTACTTAGTAATTTTAGTATATAATTAAATAAGTAGGAATCATAATTAAAATCGTTTTTTATTCTTGTCAACAAAATACTAGTTTCTTATGTGAGTGAAAAATTATAATATGCCAACAACTCAATAAATAATAGACCGTTATAACTTGAGACAACTAAAAAAAGTTTATATAATTATGAAATATACATTCATTTTTTCATTTTTCATTTGATATCAATTAAAATTTGTCTTGTGTTTGATTATTGTTGTAGCTTTTTTCTTACGTACTCCTATAAATCTTAAATAAATAATTCTGGACCATATTTACCTAAAATGTACATAATATATACATGATATTATCTAAAATTTACGTATTTGAGTGGTACATTTCTGGACGGAAATTACGTTTTAAACCTGCTATGTAGAAATTTAAACCGTACTGACACATTTTAAGGTGACAAGGGTAGGCAATAAAACAACTTTATAATATATTTTTCTAAAAACGTTTTTTATTTTTCAATTTTTAATATTTTTATAGTTTGCAACGTTTGTATAAATATTTTAAAAATTGAAGAAAACCGCCGCTTCACTTACCACCTCAGGTGTGGTACTCTTGAACTCTTCATGGGGAGAATATTAGCTTAATACCTGAATAACTGATGATCTAAGCTTGATACTATTGAGGGTAAGTTAGCGCTTTAAAAACAGACTTGAAACCTCACATAGCGAGATTAGTTAAAAGCAACTTGGTATTTTTTTATTTTATTTTGTTGTCTGTCTATGCTTATAAAACAGATATTTATGGTTCAAAATTATAGAGTCTAGGATTGTACGACTCAGATTAATATAGTCTAGTTTTTCAAAATTCCAGGATCATTCATTACCAGGGTCATCCAGGGTCTTTCAGCAGACTTATGAAATTGTGACTACATATGTAATTTCGATGGATATATTTAACACCCTAAACAATAGTTTTAGAACATTTATATTATTAAGTATAAAAATAAATATTGGAGTACGAATACATTAGTACTCAAATTCTGAAAAGATTGGTTAATTATATTTAAAATCTGATAGAAAAGCTTAAATAACATACTAGTACATAATATATTTGGTAATCATATCTATAATTACATGTGATACTTTTACTCAGTAGCTATTATACAATATAAACCTATAATTAATTTTTGTTTTACTTTAAAATTAATTGATTATAGAAAAATTAAATTTGCAAGTCAATGAAATTTGTTCACGTTATATACAAGGATATATGTGTATATTATAGTATAAATCATAAATAAATAATATGTAATTTTATTTTGGCGTAATATTTAACTTATATGTTGAAAACGTATATATACTCGTATTTATATATATTTGTAAATCAAATTGTACTTACATTTATAATTTTTTATAATATTGTAAATATGTAGTGTAAATAAGTGTTATTTAAAATCAATATTATTCCGTTATTAATCAGTTTTTGGTTAAAATGTTGTATTAAAAATATATTTTTTTTTAAACAATAATGAAAATGTATGTTACAACTCAAACTGTATATATTATTAACAATTCAAAATTAATTAAAAATGTATTTTGTTAAATTAAACACCTATAGAAAAATAAACACACATGTATTAATTCCAGAAAATTGATGTAGTTCTTCCTAGCTATAGCACACTGTAACTATTCATCATCGCTAACTTTATAGCTAAAAGATTAACTGATCAAGCTCACCGGTTCCTGGTCCATATCACGACGTCCATTGCGTTGCCCCTCTACTATTCTGCGTCCTTGAAAAAATATAATTTGTGACCTGACCTAATGAACATGAAAAATTTCAAATGCTAAATTTATTCTAAATTATTTTCAATAACAACAACAATAATATAAAATTTTTTTGAATATATAACTACTCCCCCACCCTTACCATCTTTTTTAAAATTATTTAAATCAGAATTTATGTTTATGTTTTAATATCAGATTAAAAAACGAATAACTTTATTTATAATTTTATTCGTATACTAAAATTGAAATGCAAGCATAGCAATAACATTTTATGTCTAACGAAGAATAATGATTCATATTCATATTTATACTACTATATTAAAATTTGAAAATTAATATTATATTTATAAATATTAATAAATTAAAATTAATATTAATATATATTAATATATAATATACATAATATAGTTATTATAATCACAGTATTTAATATTTCAAAGAAAGATAATAAATTATTTGGTAAGCATTCAATAATATCGCGATTTCATGAAAGGATTAAATGTACTACTTATGTATTAAATTATAGTTATAATATGTATGTCAAAAAAATTTAGAATGAACTGTAATTTTTTTTTTTAATTTCGTTAATTTCGTTTTCAATTTCTGAGATTCAAATGTACACAAATAAAGTAAAATATTTATATATTAAATGCTACTGTAATAGAATTATAATTACAATTGAGTTTCGATAACTTAAATTTCAAAGGAGGTCAAAGTTAATTCGACTTTTGCGAGTTATATGATTCGAATTTATTTAAAAATGCAAACATATTCGAGTTAGATATTATATGTGTATTTATTAACTACAATTACAATTGGAAGATAACGTTTTAAAACTCATTTCCTATGTATTTGTTAATTACAAACGTATTAAAAGATTACATTGTAAAATAAAATATATGTATAATGCTTAATGCTTACAATTTAGAAAAATAATTTGAATTAAAAGTTTAACATTTGGGTTGTTTTAAAATATTGTCTTCAATTTCCCATATGTGAGGCAATTACTGGTCATTCATCTTCTTCTTCTTCATTTTCGTCAGAGTCAGAATTTAGGAATAGGTTGTACTGCATCTACAAAGTCTTGATCACTTAATACTTCAGTTGTATGTTCATTAGTATCTACTTTAGTAAGTGTATGGCATGTAATTTCTGATTCCAATTTATAGTGATCAACTATAATTTTCCAATCGGAGCCACCATCATAGCCTTCTTCAAGAGTATATTTGTTTTATTTTTTCTTAGACTAAATGTTTTAAAACTTTTTCAGCAATTGTTAATGTAACAAATTTATACGTTTAAGAGACATAACTACAAAATGTACATAGTAATAGTTTCATTTGAACTTAGTAAAACGGTTATTCTAATTTTAAAGTTTAAGATATATTTGTAATAACTGATTTTGTCTTATTTATGCTAAACTATTTCTACTTTTGACCTATCGCGACAAATATTGCATCGAGTGTATAGGAATTTCCTAAGAACAGGAAAAAAATTCGAGTTATCGTGACTTAACTGTATTATTTATACTAATTATTTATTGGATAAATTAATTTTAGGCTTATATCTAGGAATCAATAAATTTAAAATTAATTCGTCGAAGTCAACATAATATAAATGTCGAAAAAATCTAAAATTAATTATAGTTACACCAATGTAATAATTCTTATACTAAATAAATGTAAATAATTTATAATTTTTGGTTGCGTATTTACTTATTTCATCTCCAGGAATTTAATCCCGCACTAATTGCACGAAGCAATGAATTATGATGTATAATATGTATTGTAGATTAGTTTTAAACAAAGTGAATGCAATTATTTTGTAGCAAATAACAATTTTTATTGTAACCTAGTTTAACAATAAACAAAATGTTAATCTTATATTATTATGATATACCTATATATAGGTATACCTTTTTCTTTGACAAAATATTCTTTATAAAAAATGTTTTAAATATTTTTTATGTGAACAGTAAAAAGATAAAAATAAAGATTGTGAGTACCTACCATTAATAGGTAAAATTTATTCCACAATTTGTCTCTTTTGAATTATTCATAAAATATGAATTATATAATACCAAAATATTTTCCAAAACAATTTCAATACATAAAATATAAAATGAAATAATAAAAAATAAAATAAAAATAAGTAAATATTTAATACTCATAAATTAATATATAAATAAATGGTGAGTCTGGAGTATTATTATTAGTATTAGTATTATACTCTTGTACTTGTAATGTACGACCGGTTTTGAATTATTAATTCATTATCAGGTACATACAATATTGAAAGAAAAAAGTTTATTAATTTAGTATATACCTAATGATGAATTTTTAATTTGAAACAGGTCGTATATTACAAATATAATAATACTTTAGGCTAAGTATTTATTTATTTCTATATAAAAACTATTTATTTATACATAAAATATGCTCATTGTAAAATTATGAAAAAGAAGAACAAATTAATTTGTTTAATTAGTAGTACCCTGCAAAAGTGGCATGCTGGTAGTATGTGATTGAATTGAGAATAACCAGTGGTGTTATAAAATGACTGGACTTCTACCAATATTTTAAAAAACGTAATATCTTTCTTTCTTATTTTTTAACGAAACACTAATATAGTTGGTTGTTTTGGAATATATAAGCAGTATATAAACTGTTTTTTTTATTGTTATATTATATTTTTTAATACATTGTGATAAGATTTTATGATTGATTTTTTTTTACCGAAACTTATATTACTATAATAACATTAGATTAAAGCTTATATTTTAAATGTAAACATACAAATAATTCAAAGATGTTTCAAAAGTCAAAATTTGATAAAAGTATATACTAATTGGTTTTTTTAATATATATTTGTTGCTGTAACTGATATATTATATCATATATATTATATTATAAATTATTGGGCAAGTGGATGGGAGAAGATGTCCATTCTTGAGTCTTTGCTCAACAATTTTACAGACGAGATATGGGTTTTAAATTGTTAATTAAGTTCTTGTATTTCCATACATTTACATTATATATACATGAAAGTTTTTTGAATGTATAATCACAATGGTTGATTACAAGGAAGAAAAAAACATAATTCATTCAATTTTCACAAATATGCACGTTATATATAATCATTTATAAGCATATTTGAAGATGTTTTATTGATAATAATTTGGAACTTGTAATTATATGCTGAAGTCCACTAAATTCATTATACACAGTACCGAAGCTAATAAAAATGCAGCAATCTTACGTTGGTGGAAGTAACCATGCATGTTCGTGACTTTTTTTTATTCATCACAAACTTAAGAGCGCTCTTATACAACAGAGCTTCGAGCAAATACTATATACACTTACCACCACCTATATTTGGCTCTAAATATACAATATACCCTACAGAGTTAATCAAAGAATTCTCGACTAATGTTGAAATAGCTTGATAATTGTGTACCTACTTAGTTGACAAAATAAATTTTTAAATTAAATTAATTTTTGAGAACTGTACCAATAAATAAATATTATCAATATTACCATTGAGGAAAAACGATAATGCTCTATAATCAATGATATAACTATGAGAATAATTATTTTGTAAAATAATATAAATAATAATAATAATAATAATATAATTTTTTTTTTGTATATTATAATATTATTATATAATTATGTATATAATTTAATATACCTATATTTTTATCTCAAGCTATAGATACATATTAAAATAATCATGTTGGTTAATATTTTATTGATAAACAATTATTTGACCATTCGCCCACCTGTTTTTAGTGATAACGGCTAAGTTTCACCGGTATGAACAATTCACCGATAGTAAAAATAACGAGTCACTTTATATTATTACTACTGGTGAAGCGTTTAATCCATAAATATAAACCAATATTATGTATTATAATTTATATCACCTACCTGCTATATCGTGAATGAGATACTTAATTCACTCAGGAAGTTAATTGTGTATTGGATTTTCGAATTACATATTACTAAGAATTAAGATGCAGTCTAAATAAACTTGAAATATTAACAGTAGAAACCACATTGGATACTATGACATAAGTTGTTAATTTTCTTTTCCATCATACATTAATTATATAATTATTATACTAACGCCATAATATCTGTAATAATTTCTGTAATAATATCTTAGACAAGTGGAAACTATCTTACCTCTAAGTGGAAAATGTTTAATTCTTCAGGTAGCCAATACTCTAGATTTCAATTATATATTAATACTGTGTATATTTTATACATCCATATTTTAAATTAAATTAACAAAAAATAATCATTTAAAAGTTTAACGAAAAAACTGCAAAAAAACATTTAAAACCTGTTGACTTCAAAAAACTAAATATTTTACAATTTATATTTTAATTGACTACGTGATAATTAATGAATGCGTGTTTCTCAATATAATCAAGAATTTATTGATTTAATGATTTTTTTTATAAATACATTTTTATTTAGAAATAAATTGGAATAGTTTAAAATATCATACACCAAGGGTTTATATTTACTTTGATAAAATAAATAATTTTAAATTCAGTTTTTTTGGTAGTTAATTACATCGAGTGCTTTAGCTAAAGATTTTTTCTTGAAAGAAATGATTTTTCATTATTTTTAAATTTATATAAATTATACAAATAACATTACTTACAAAGGACTCAAACCCGATATCTTACTAAATTTTTAAAATTACGAAAATAATTTTTCTATAAATTATAACCTTATAATTGTATTTTTACGTTAGTATTTCGATTTCTCATGTAATGTGAAGAAATTTAGGAGCCATTTTATCTGTGGTTTTCTAAAGTTTTTCAATTTTTTAAATAATTTAACTCTTACTTTAAGATTTTTAGATGATGTAAACCTTCAAATATATTATAATCACTCAACAATTTGTAAACATTCACAATTTTATTGAACAAATGTACTATATATTGTATGTATCATAGGCGTGTCTGAAAATTTCGTGCAGGTATGGCCAATAACATTTTTCATTAGG